AGACCATCCCTGATAGACATTTATCTAACCTACTCTTAAATATCTCCAGAGATGGAGATTCCACAACCCCCCTGGGCAATTTATTCCAGTGTTTGACTACCCTGACAGTTAGGAACTTTTTTCTAATGTCCAACCTAAATCTCCCTTGCTGCAATTTAAGCCCATTGCTTCTTGTTCTCTCCCCAGAGGCCAAGATGAACAGGTTTTCTCCCTCCTCCTTATAACACCCTTTTAGATATCTGAAAACTGCTATCATGTTCCCCCTCAATCTTCTCTTTTCTAAACTAAACAAACCTAATTCCTCCAGCCTTCTCTCATAGGTCATGTTCTCTAGACCTTTAATCATTCTCGTTGCTCTTCTCTGGACCCTCTCCAATTTCTCCACATCTTTCTTGAAATGCAGTGCCCAGAACTGAACACAGTACTCCAAGGCTGTGTTTAGACTGGCAAGAGAATGACTTCTCATGTCTTGCTAGCAACACACCTGTTAATAGTTGACAACTTTTATATCAGCACACCATGACTAAGGGCACACATGCTGATTGTATTGGAGATTTGCTGATGAAATAAAATAGATTACTTTTAATGGATGAGTGGGCTGAGAATTAGAGGGTTTTAGGTTGCGGAAATACTATGCTGCTCCCATTCGGGCAAAAGTCTTCTTCCGAAAGATTTTTGTGCAAAAGGGCCAGTGTAGACAGCACAGTACTGTTTTCCGCAAAAAAGCCCCGATCGCGAAAATGGCGATTGGGGCTTTTTTGCGGAAAACCGCATCTAGATTGGCCACGGACGCTTTTCCGCAAAAAGTGCTTTTGCAGAAAAGCATCCTGCCAATCTAGATGTGCTTTTCCAAAAATACTTTTAACGGAAAAGTTTTCCATTAAAAGCATTTTCGGAAAATCATGCCAGTGTAGACGTAGCCTAATTGAGGCCTAACCAGCGCAGAGTAGAGCAGAAGAATAACTTCTTGTGTCTTGCTCACAACACACCTGTTAGTGCATCCCAGAATCATGTTTGCTTTCTTTGCAACGGCATCACACTGCTGACTCATTCAACTTTTGGTCCACTATAACCCCTAGATCCCTTTCTGCCATACTCCTTCCCAGACAGTTGCTTCCTATTCTGTATGTATGAAACTGATTGTTCCTTCCTAAGTGGAGCACTTTGCATTTGTCTTTATTAAACTTCATCCTAATTACCTCAGACCATTTCTCCAATTTGTCCAGGTCATTTTGAATTATGACCCTATCCTTATTATTAATTATTAATTATTGTAGTAAGATGGTAACTCTTAATACAATAATTTCCTCTCTCGACAACAACGATTGGTTTGCAGCCCTCGACCTGCAAGATGAGTATTTCCATATCACCATGTACCCCACGCACAAGTGATTTCTTCGATTTGTAATTGCAGGCAAACACTTCCAATATCGTGTTTTACCCTTCGGTCTCGCATCAGCACCTAGGGTATTCTCAAAAATGCTTGCTGTAGTGGTAGCACATCTCCGCCATCTAAATATGATAATATTTCCATACCTCGATGATTGTCTGATCAAGGCCACAACGCATCAAGAGGCCTTGAACATACGTTCGACTCCTTCGGTCTCATAGTGAACGAGCAAAAGTCAACAATAATTCCGACACAAAGCATAAAATTTATAGGAGCAATCCTCGATTCTCTTGCGGTGAGAGCATACTTACCTTCGGACAGATTTCAGACAATTCAGCACATGCTCATCAAAGCTCCAACAATTTCGGTTCACACCTGCCTCTGTTTACTGGGGCACATGGCGGCTACTACCTTTGTTGTTCCCCACGCACAACTTCACCTGCAGAACTTGCAGCACTGGTTAGCAACGGTGTACGTACCTGCAAAGCACAGTATTCACAAGATAGTAACTCCATCGTCTCACGTTCGCATGTCTCTTCGATGGTGGACAGAAGCGCAAAATCTCATGACAGGAGTCTCTTTTCAGCATCCACAACTGTCCGTTGAAATTACAACCAATGCTTCCCTTGTTGGGTGGGGCGCTCACATGAACAACAGGTGCATACAAGGCAAGTGATCTCTCACCGAGAGGTCTCTGCACATAAATCTTTTAGAGCTGAGAGCTGTCTTCCATACGTGCAGGCACTTCCTACTACACATAAAGAGCACCTCCGTCAGAGTTCTCATGGAAAACGAAGCCACAATGTACTATATAAACAAACAAGGGGGAGCAAGATCAGGTTCCCTGTTTGCCAAAGCAGTGCAGTTCTGGAACTGGGGCATATGGAACAACATCACTATAACAGCGTTTTACTTACTTGGCACCAGTAATGTCATTGTGGACTCTCTCAGCAGGCGCTTTCCCCAAGATCACAAATGGGAAATAAGAACGGATGTACTCCAATGGGTCTTTTGCAGATGGGGAGCTCAGACAGTGGACCTCTTCGCCACTCCTGACAACATGAAGTGTCCCCTCTTCTGCTCCAGAGCAGGTATAGGCAGGGCTTCTCTCAGCTATGCCCTCCTAATCACGTGGGAAAGGATGCTCTTATACGCGTTTCCTCCAGCAATCCTCATCCACAGAGCATTGCAGAAAATCAAGACAGAGGCAGCAACTGTCATCATGATGGCTCTGGCCTGGCCAAGGCAAACGTGGTATCCGCTCTTATACAGGCTGTCGCTTGCGCCACCCTGACCCCTCCCTCTCTATCCGGACCTTCTCTCGCAAGAGAGAGGCACTCTGCTGTACCCCAGACTGGACTCACTACATCTGACAGCATGGCTGCTAACTGGCTAAGGGAGGGAGAGACTCTTTGCTCGGACCGGGTTAAGATGATACTGGTACACAGTAGGAAGTCGTCCGCACAGAATACTTACCTCGCAAAGTGGCGTAGATGCTCCCAATGGTGTCTTTGCAACAGTATCGAACCACAGACATCTCCTTTGCCCCGAATCCTTGATTACATCGTTTACTTTCAGAGTTCGGGGCTTTCCCTCTCGTCCCTGAAAGTACATTTAGCAGCTTTTAGTGCCTTTCACGGTCCCGTGGAGGGTTATTCAGTGTTCGCCCACTACATCAGAAAAAGATTTTTAAAAGGTCTAATGAACCTCTACCCTCCTCGAAAACCACCACCTCCCTGCTGGAATCTGGACCTCGTGCTTGATACTATTATGCACCCCCCATTTGAACCACTAGCGATTGTGTCACTCCAAATGTTAAGAATGAAGTTAGTTTTTCTACTTGCTATCACATCAGCTCATAGAGTTAGGGAATTGGCGGCTCTAATGGCATCACCGCCTTTCACATCTTTTTCCAAGGACTCAGTTACACTACGTTTTCACACGGCCTTTACCTCCAAGGTCTGCTCCTCTTTTCACATAAATGAGCCCATTGTTCTTGTATCCTTCTATCCCAAACCTCATTCCTCATGGAAGGACGCTTTGCTACATATGCTTGACGTTCACCGAGTGCTCTCTTACTATTTAGAAAGAACACGGCAATGGCGGCGGACAGACAGACTTTTGGTTTCCATTGCACAGCGCTCCAAAGGCAATGCACTTTCTAGCCGTCATATTGCCAGACTCATTGGCCTTTGTATTACCACCTGCCATGATATTTGGAACAGGACCCTTATCACACAACCCACTACGCACTCTACAACGGCGGTAGCGACCTCCACGGCTTTCACCCACGGAGCTCCCCTCAGTGACATTTGCCGTGCAGCTACTTGGTCTTCCAGTACTTCCTTCATGCGACATTATGCAATAGTACAACGTTGGGCCACAGGCTCAGCAGTAGCTTCTGCAGTGCTATCAGTTGCAGAAATGCATTGACTCGGAGCGCACACAGCGGCTATTGCTTTAGAGCACCCACGGGGACCACTCGAAAAGAAGAAGAAGTTACTCGCCTTGGTGCAGTAATGATGGTTCTTCGAGATGTGTCCCCGTGGGTGCTCCACGTTCTGCCCTCCTCCCCGCTCCGGGCTCTCTCTCTCTATTTCTCGTTGCAGATACCAAGCGGTGAGAGGAACTGGCGGGGGGCCGGACCGCACAACGTTAGAAAGGGCATGAACGGCGCGTGGCACTAAACGCGCATGCGCGGTCCGGCCGACTACGGCTGTAAAATCCTCTGACCAGCGGCACCAGGATGAGCCCAACACCTAGACTGGAGCACCCACGAGAACACATCAAGAAGAACCATCATTACTGCACCAAAGTGAGTAACTTCTTCTTTGTTTTAATTGTAAAAATAAAGAGCCCTGATGAGATGGAAAATATTTTAATACTGTAATTTAAACTAGACCTTAATACTGAAAACTGCTTGGAGACAGTCAGATTGAATAGGAAATATACCTGTTATCATCGCATACCTGTTATTGTCACAAAACAGTTCTACTAGTCAAATACACAGGGAGGCATTGGAATTACAATTCATCTACAAATTCAGTTCTCACTCTGCTCATCATCTCCTCAATTAGGACAATGGATGTCTGGGACATTACCAACCTAACATTCAATGAAGGTGTCAACAAGAATCTATGTGGATTCTTGTGTTAATTCCCTTTGATGCTAATCTGCTTCCTTTTCACTATCCAATTTTTAGGTGCTTATGGCACCAGCTCTGTTTACTTGTTTTCCCTTTGATATTTTTATTCCCTTTGCTCCTTCCCCCCCCCCCCCCTATTTATTTTGAGTCTGCACATCCTAAACTCATAACTCTGATCATCTGAAGAAGTGGGCTGTGCCCACGAAAGCTCATGATACCATCTACATGTTTTGTTAGTCTATAAAGTGCTACCAGACATTTTGTTGTTTTTAAGTTTATCAGCAAATACTACTGTAGCAATTTAACAAAAATCAAATATCTTTAGTATTGCAACTTTGTCCATGATTGGAGGTTTTCCCCATGTTGTTTACATGCCAGTGTCGCTTTTTTTTTTTTTTTAAGCCTATCTAGAGTTAATTTTTACCATTTGCTAAAAAAAAAAAACTATATACCTTGCTTTTATAGCGTGTACTGAATTTGATGGGAAATGAAGTGATTAAGAAAATTCCTAATTATAGAAGGATGCTTACTATTCGACTAAAACAATTAACATACCTGGATGATAGGCCGGTTTTTCCAAAGGACAGGTGAGAAACAGTGAAGTCTTCTTTTAATAGCAATGTATATTAAATACTAATGATCAGACATTTCATTTTAATCAATATTTTTGCCATGCACAGAGAAGAAGAATCTGGCCAAAGTAGCAAGTCACGGGATAAGAAATAAGGTCCTCTCGTGGATCAGTAACTGCTTAAAAGGCAGAAAACAAAAGATAGGAGTATATGGTCAGTTTTTAGACTGGAGAGAGGTAAATAATAATGTCCCATAGCAGTCTGTATAGAGACTAGTGCTGTTCAATATATTCATAAATGATCTGAAAAAAAAAGGGTAAACAGGCAACATTTGCAAACTATAAAAAATTATTCAAGGGTATGTCTACACTACAGCGCTAATTCGAACTAACGCGTCTAGAACTAAAAACTAGTTTGAATTAGCGTTTTGCTAATTCGAACTAGCATGTCCACATTAAGTGGACCCTGAACCGGGGTTAAAGATGGCCAGAAGCAGTGCCGGCAGGGCATCAGAGGAGGACTTAGAGCGTGGAGATGCTGTCTCAGGCTAGCCGAGGGCTGCGCTTAAAGGGTCCCGACCCCCACCCCGGACAGACAGTTCTCAGGGGTGCCCCACTTGCAAAGCAGTCCTGGCTTGGAGTTCCCAGAGTACCCACACTGGGAACATCACACCACTCGGCCATCAGCCCGGCTGCACTTGCCGCAGGCTGCCATCTGGGGAAAGGGGGTAATTGGGGGGCTGCAGGAGAGCTTCCACCCCCAGAAGCCCGCAGAGCCAGCCCAGTCCTCCCCATCGGGGGCTCATGCCCCATTCCTCCCTCACCTCCTTCCACTTACCCTTCTCTAGCCCCTTTTCTTGATGTACAAAATAAAGGACAATTGTGTTCAAAAATGGAATCTGTCTTTATTGAACAAAACTGGGGGAGACTGGGAAAAGGAAGTGGGAGTGGGGAAGAGAGAGGCTGGGAGAGGGGAGGGCAACTAAAATGATCAGGGGTTGGGAACAGGTCCCATATGAAGAGAGGCTACAGAGACTGGGACTGTTCAGCTTAGA